GCATCCTCTTGGTTCTTAGGTCAGTGCTCAAGCACTGAGCCACAACAGTCAGGCCTAACCATTCTTTTATGTAATCAAGGGTTGCATCACCAGAGAAGTCTTTAATATAAACAGATCTGTTTTTTACATCATTTTTATACTCATCAGTCACTTCAGGGAGAGGTTTGTTTGGAGATCTTCTGATTTTGGTTTTATCTTCACTTATTTCCATGAGCTCTACCTTTGATTTGCTCAATGCTTCTACTATGACATTAAAGTCTGTTGTTAGATGGTTTAACCTCAATTTGATGACAGATTTTGGCCTCCAGGGCAGCCATTTTTTCATCACCATTTTCAGCCATTGTGGCCACCGTTAAGGTCCCGGTCCCGCAGAGCCGGGCCACACGACCACTGAGAAAGCCTCGCCGCCGCGGCGTCCAGATATTTTTCTTTCCAATCAATGTGAAGTAACTGCAGATGGAATATTCTGATGTTAAATAAATTTCTTTTGGAAAAAGTACCTTTTATCTGATTGAATGGATGCTAACTTCAGTACAGTATGTTCATATATTGGCTGCATTTTCAAACAAATTCAGTTTAAATAATTTTTTTTCTCTTGTAAAACATTGACAATTAACATGCAGCTGCACTTAGTGTTAACATAGCTGGAAATTAATTTAGATTTTCCTCTTTACCAATTACATTTTTGCTTAGCCTGTTAAACTGCAAACAGTTACTTCATATTCATCATTAGGTTCATATATCTTACTTTACATACTAATTTTGTGTAAACCTCAATGCATGTTATTAGCTTCTCATTTCCCCTTCCAAATATGATGATGTTTGAATTTTAAATTAAATTTGTTTAGTAGGTGTAGTGACAAATGTATTTAACTTGTAATTTTTCTAAAGTTTATTCTTTCTCACTTATCTCAAACAAAAATTCTGAATTACAATGACACGTGAGGTTCTTTGTCTATAACAGTTTTGTGGTCACTTTTACTGTTTTATTATTATTATACATAGATTATTATGCCTAAATTTGTTTCAGTGTATTGAGAGAGCCGCTATTTACCTGAAGTATGCATGTGAGAGTGTGTATATGTGTTTGTGTTTGTATGATTGTATGTGTGTCTATCTATGCATATACGTGTACATATACACATGCACACGCATACTCTTAAGAGTAAACAGTGGATGACATTCATAGTTGTTTGCTTTCTAAATGGACTTATATGTTTTAAAAAACATGGTGCTCAATAAGGAAA